GACCCCCACTGTGAGATTATAGATATTGCAATCTTTATTATGGGGTTAATGCCGTGGGCCATAATCTGTGAAGGCAAAAAGGGTGGGGGTGGTCAGAAGGTGGACCCACTGACCTGGTTTCTTGCCCAACTCCAATAGGACTGTCACAATATCCATATTTTCTTGCTTTCGTCTGTTTTGTCACATCTATTTTGAACTGGTATTTTCTTAGAGGCTTATTTTCCTATTTAGTTTTGATGATGTCACAATGCTGTCTATCACATGTTTTTCATTTACCTATTAGTTACAGGCTAAACATTTCATAAGGGCTGCTAATAACAGTTGTGTTTGGGCATTTTTTATCTGTGTTTTGTGTCTGGGGACTGGAGCTGTTTATGGTGCTGAAGCATGTTGGGGGCCCCTATGTTGCTGTCCACGGTACTGAAACATCTCTCCCATTAGCTGTGGTGAAAATAGCATTTGATGCAGTTCAGAAATAACAGTAGACTATATTTAATCTAAATAGTCCTTGAATCTGAGGGTAGGGGCTACTTTATTTTGAATATGGTAGAGAACCTCTGCTGTTGTTAATCTCAAAGCAAATGTTGCATTAATGTAAGCTTAAGCTTCAACACCATCTCTGGGCATCAAATACTTTGCCAGAGCACCATTACTCCTGACAGTATCAGAAATCTACTCAAAAAACCCTGTAACCCTATGTCCTTGTATTTCAACCCAGAGCAGTCTTTATTATGCAGTGCTTTAAAGAGCAACAGTGTTTTTGGTCTGCTCACTTATTTTGTGAACCTGTGCAGATAGTCATTGAGTAACTCCTGGACCCTGGCCCTGACCCAATCCAATGTGTACTATTGCCACCTAGACCCTATGGCCTGTACGCGCCTCTGTAATCTGCCCCTCACCCCCCCGTGGCACAGAGTGAGGGAGAGAAGAGAAAGGCCTTCCACCGTGCTGCGATTATCAGCCTGGGGAAGCTCTGTGTGTGTTAAATGTGAAAGGAGATTATATGGATTTAACTCTCTGCGTCTGGCATACAAATTCCAATCACATAACATATCCTTTCCTGTTCTATGGGACTATAAAAGAGAGGGGGAAAGAGAGAGAGAGAGTGAGAGAGATAGAGAGAGAGACAGAGAGAGAGAGAGAGAGAGAGAGAGAGAGAGAGAGAGAGAGAGAGAATTCAGCCCCTCCCCTAACCTAGTAAGGGCTTTAGCTCTAATCTCAGCCTTTCAATTCTGTCATCCCTTTTTTTCATGTTCTCTGTTCTATTTATGTTTTGCGAATGAACATTTTAAATATTATTTTCAACCTTATTTTCTCTTTAAGGGTGTGAAATTGTCAAATAATTTTTATCTCCTAAAATGAGTTCTATTTTTAAACGGAATGTTTTTTTATTTTATTTTATTATATTTATTGTCTTTATGAAGATGTCCTTTAGCTAGCTAAGGGTTTACTTATCTGTGAAATGCTGTTGTCTTTTATGCTATAGTAACATGACACCACCATTCTTTTGAACACAATGAGAATCACGAGAATGGGGATAATCCAGGCATTGTTGACATAAACCTGGCGGGGGGCATTAATTACATGTAATTGCCTTAGAAGAAAATTCACTTGCTGTAGGCTTGTGTCTTCCTTGGCTCAGAGCCAAAGCTGAGCTAAGCAATTCTCTGAATACAAAAAGACGTCCCATCAGTTTCTTTTGCTAGTGAAAGCACCAAGAGAGTTAAAGACAACAGAGAGACCAAAGTGTTTTGATCTTTGTAAGGTGTAATTTTTTTCTTTTTAGCTATATGGACATCATTGTTCTCATTGTTATGAAACGGTTGTGCTGTTTTATGGATCAATGGCAGTTGGATGGTATACCATCACATGAGCTATTAGATAGGTTGCTAAATACATACTGTAGCAGGGGTGTCATGACCTATTTATTCTCCTATTCTCCTATCAGATGGGAGCATTCACAACAGCTTCAACCACACAAGTAATAGATTACTGTTTTTTAATGCTTGTCCTGCCACTGGGATATTACTGCTGTAATTTGGGCTAAGGTCAGACAGTTAAAGACCCTCTCCAGTTGTGAGGTCCTGTGGGTGCTGGCTTTTGCCTTCAAGGTTTTTGTTGTCTATTAAACTGACCTAAGTTTTCTGTCTTCTTGTTGTGCTTTGCAGTGCTATATTTAGGATGCACATTGTTGTACCTCAACTGTTATTACTGTTTTAATCTCAGCAATAGGATACTACGAAAAGCCTATATATTGGGTTTCACTGGCACTTAGTGCACACAAAAATTTCCTTTCCTGTGAGCTCACCAGTTTCTCCTCTCTGAGCTTTTCTGTTCACCATGCTAAATGGGGCACATCAGTAAAATGTCTGCTACAAATAAAATCCCAGCTGTGCCATGAGACCAAGACGAAATGACAATGACTACAATTTCTGATGGAATGTATGGTATGATAGCAATGTCTTATTCTCCTTCATAGAGTAACATAGTACTTGCCTACAACCCACACAGTGAATCAAGTTAACAGTGTTGGTTGTTCTCCATGATTGGTAGTTTGAAAAGATACAGCAGTAACCCTAAAAATATAGTTTTTTAAATGCCGTTCTAAGAAAATTATTTAATTGGCATGGAAACTTTACATTGTCAAAAAATATCAGAAATATCTTCCTCAAAGACATCACTCCAAAGAACTCTTTTTGGCACATTTATTTTTAAAAATATAGAGCATCCACCAGCCTTTTCAGAGTGATGACAATATATGATTTTCAAAAACAATCAAAAATTACAATTTGGAGAACACTTGGGGGAAGAGCAAATATACATAAGTAATATATTAATAAGTAATACTATTATAGTAAAATATAGCCATTCAACCATTTTACATTCATGTTTTTGAAGAATATCCACGTCATTCCTATACTTCATGATGACTTGCATAAATTATGGCCTGAATGTCTGCTGAAGTGTAACTGACATTATGCAATAAACATTCTTACATGACAGAAATATAAGTAAATATATAACATGATAAATGTTATTAACCAAAACACCTGACCTCGAGTGCTCTCTTGATTTTATACAATAGTTCTGCAAAATAGAGAAAAAAGTAAAGACGCTTGAAATATGGTAAAATGTGCTTTGATATTGTCAATTCCTTCTGCCACAAAAAGTAATAGTTGTTTGTATTATGGACAGAGCCACAAAAGTGTCACAGTATCAAGTTCTGCTCAGCTTTTTCAATATTAGCTTTTTCAATAATAACCTTAAAGTCATTTTGCTCCAGACAGTCAGTATAGCAGTTCACAGTCTTGTCTGCTGAATTGTATTTGGTTAGTTTTTAGCTTATTCCAGTTTGTTTAGTTGTTGTGTTGTCATCTTCCCACCACAATGCTTGCTTAGGAACAAAAACAGGTTCACACATTGATGTAGTCCTGCTGTCATGCTTTTCTAAACCGATTAGATTGTGTCATCTGAACTAACTGCTGTGTAACTGTTGACAAAAAACCCTGTGTGAAAGAAACATTAAACTTTAGTCAGTGGATTCTATTTGTAGTCAACTTTAATTATGTACCATTTGTTTGAACTACACATAACATTGTAGTGCTACTACACTTAAGCTTTTACACACTACTTTTACATCATCACCTTATATATCCAAAATGGCAACTTTTTTAATAAAGTTTGAAAAAACTGAAAAAATGGAGACAAAAAGTTTTGTTTTGTCTGCAATTATATAAGACTGTAAATATTGTGATCTGTACCTTTCCGTGTGGTCAATTTTAGTTATTTAAATATGGACATTTGAAGCTCACAAAAGACATACAAGTAGCATATTCTTTCCTATGTACATTGCACAGAGCAGTGACTCAAAGCATCTCTTTTTTTGAAGGAGGCTGTTAGCTTATTAGCTACCTGCTGACCTGCTCAACCTACTCTAGTGAGTGCAACAAGAGACCGTAACATCACCTTGCAGTGTCCAACTAACAAATTCTTCATCTGGTTGCATTTCATGGGCACAGATTTCAACAATAGCAAATTATGCTTTTTTCACACAATGATTCTGAAGCCAGATTTGTATGTCCTATTTGGCAGCAGGTAGTCAATGAACCACTGCACTTTCTGGAGTGGTTTATTGTCATATCTTCTTAGAAAAACAAAGGACAAAAATGATGAGCTAGCACACTTTCTTTGACTTTGCTAAAAACAGTGATCAAAACCAGATATTTCAGCCTTATCTTGATATACAGAGATCATGACTACAGATATGTGAAGTGAGTACTTTCCAAGCATTCTGAGCTCTTTCAGTTTTAAACAATGCAAACTTTGTTGTAAATGTTTTTGGACAGCAAACATACATATTGCGTTTTGTTGAATTTGACAACTACCACACTTTCAGCAAAGCTCAAACATTGTGGACTACTGAGCAGCTCAACCTGTGTGCTGTGAAAGCTGCAGATTTTACACAGAAGAACAACTGGTGCTGTTCTGACTGGATGGCAAAGATGATATTGCTCTTTTCTCCCTGACAGAGTGTTTATATCCAATCAAGGGTGCCTTTTAGGAGATAAAAAGTATCCATGACCTTTGTCCTCTAAACATGTTCAGCTGACCTGTGAAGTTGTTGTATGCTGTACACCTCATCTATCCATGTTCGTAGTAAAGTCTGAGATAGGGGAAACTACAGTGACATTGGAGTTGGCTGTACAAAATGATATGGGTATAAATAAATAAAAAGGAAAACTAGTGTAACTTAAGTGTGTTTCCTATTTACTTGTAAATGTAATTGACTGTTGTGCTCGTCTTCTGGCCTTCCACCAGTGAACAGCGAGGATGTGGTCTCGACGCGGCTGTACTTTGTGAACGCCTCCCTGCAGAGAGTGACCTTCTCCAGCTCAGTGGGGGTGTCCCTGCCCTGCCCCGCGGGTGGCGCCCCCCATGCAGTCCTTCGCTGGTACCTGGCCACTGGCGACGACATTTACGACGTACCCCACATCCGCCATGTGCATGCCAACGGCACACTGCAGCTCTACCCCTTCTCCCCCTCTGCCTTCAACAGCTTCATCCATGACAATGACTACTTCTGCACAGCAGAGAACCAGGCCGGCAAGATCCGCAGCCCAAGTATCCGCGTCAAAGCGGGTAAGAATCTGTCCACTTGTCTTTATCTTCATTCTATTTGTCGGTCTGTCAGATCAACTGTCTTGTCTGCCAATTTCCAAATCCATCCATCCATGCGTTTTGGATGTAACTGATCTATCCATGCTCCAACCACAATGTGATTTTTTGTAGCAACTTTTGCAAAGTTGGACAAGCATTACAAGAAATTCTGTTCAGTCTAATTTGAAATTTTATTTAAAATTTAAATTTAAATCTGGATGTTCTTTTACTTAATCAAAACTAGGCAGGTTGGAAACGACAATAACGAATTTGCCACTATGCTCATGTTAGCTTGATTACACAAAAAATCAAAACTGACTTGTCTTGTCTATCCTCAGTGTGACATTTCACACACATACAAAATAACATTATCTTAAATTAACAATTTACTCTAAATGAAGGTATTTTGACCAGAAGAAAACTGCTACAATTTCTTATTAGGTTAAAAATAAGTTCCAACAATTTTTCAAAATTTCTGCATTCTGCAGTGTCTCAGGCATCAGACAACATATTCATAACCATTTCATGTATTCATTTATGGTGATGTAGCTTTTAAAGGCATTGAAGTCTTCAGATGTTTGGTTCCTATCACCAACATTATGAACAATTCTGACTGTATGTTTTTCTAGTATGGAGCATTCTACATCAAAACACACTGAAGGACTTGTTTTACATCTTAATCATTATATTATCCAGAAATTTTGAAAAAATTGGCAGAATTCCCTTTGAATGTGTTTTTACTAACATTTTCTAAAGCTTGTCCAACCTCATTACTGAATGCATTTGAGGGCAGAACATGAGAAGGCTAAAAGTGGACTGCCCATCACTGTGTTGAACAGCAATTTATAAAGTTGTTTTATTCATTTTATCATTTCTGTTCTATACCAGACCAGTCCTAGGAAGATCTTTACTTTTCATTTGTATCCTCAGTTCATGGTCAACATTTTTACATTATGGGCCATATTGTGAAAATGGAAGAGCAGAGGTGGGAGTTGATATTGTGGCAAAGGGAATTCATGTGACATTAGCCATAGAGCATGGGTTTTGAGCTGAACATCTGCAGTAACAGCAAAACTAGCAGCAGCCATATTGCTAACCTAAATAAGAGTGTAAGCGCCACATGGGCATCCCAGCGGCCGGCCTGTTGACCTGGCTCCTTTAAAAAGCAGCAAGCAGACGGCCACGCAGTGCCACAGACAGTTGGCTCAGTGACCCTCCCATTCGATGCCAAGGTCACTTCTTGTGAGCGGGAGCTGACCGCCCAACGACAGCGAGGGATATCCACACATACACACACACACACGCACACACACACACATGTATGCCAGCCTGTGCAGAACCTGTGCCAGTGTCCCTCCTGTCTCCCTGTCTCCATCTGTCCTCCATGCTAGAGTTCCCACCTCACACATACGCACCTACTCAACTAGACAGTGTGCACATGTCTACCTATTGCAGAATTTCCCAAAATAAGAGACATGCGGAACTCATGCTATTGTGAAAAACATCTGCTGCGAAACCTTTTTAAATGTACCAACGTTGTTATTTTTCTAGTCTTTTCTAACTTATCCAGTTTGGCATTGCGTCTCAGAGGACAGAATAAATTAGCTACGAACCAGCGACAAGATGGGGTGACTTTGGTCTCTAATAATTACACTAATTAATCAATTAAATGCTGAGACGCAGCGAAAACCCTGGTAGATCTGGCAACCTATGCACAGCCCTGTGGAAACCATCACTGGGCTAGAGCATCCAACCAATCAGCTCCATCATTTAACGGTTGCCATGGGTACGGGAGAGGGGAGGGGCAGGGTGTGGTGCCCAGTGTCTCAGGTGGCAGTGGAGAATGATGACAGTTGACAGCTCATGGTGTGACACTACCCCCCCATCCCTCCATCTCTCTTTCCCTCTCATGCTCGTGCTCTCTTCCTTCCTCCCTCGTTTCCATCCTCCCTTTTTCTTCTCACCCACTCCCTCTACATGCTGATACTGTGCCAATAATAGCATGGGCACCTGTGTGGATAGCTTAACATTTATGACAATCTCACCATGTGGGCTCTCTCTCTCTCTCTCTCTCTCTCTCTCTCTCTCTCTCTATCTATCTATCTATCTATCTATCTTTTATTTATCTTTGGTTAAAAAAATACATTGCCTAAAAAGGCTTTCGTGTCAAGAAGGCTCTCCTTCCTAATCAATTAATCAATCAGTCAATCAATCAATCACATGAAAAAATGTAGGTGTGATACACAGGCACACCTGTCACCTCTGACTATAATGCTAGAAACCAATACTATACAGGACACCTGGGCTAAGTCTTTGTGCATTTTCATTTTACAGTAGTCTTATGAACTACATCGCCACCTGACCAAGAGCAAACTCCATAAGCCCTTGTTGACAAACGCTTTGTAAAGATAAAGAGATGAGTAGCGCAGATTCTTCTACCCTGGAACTGACTAGGGTGAACTGTCACGAATGGTGAACTTCAGGCCACACTGTAAACACAGACTACGACAGGTGCACCGTGCACGCCCACGCCCTGCTCTCTCTCTCTGCCTTTGTGTTGAGTCTTTTCGTTTTGTGCCTCGACTACCGATATGTAATGTTTACTTTTTTCCTCCCTGTGTTAATGGGCGCCTTCATTCATGCGCCCTGCTTTATTCAAATCCGTGCTTTTCCTTCTCTTTTTGTGCTTCGTGCTTAATGAATAAGTAAATATGGTATTTGGTTTCTCTCGAGTTAATTATTTAAACGACAGTGATACAGAACTCGTTCCTAGGGGTGCGCGGGAAAGGAAAGCCTGCGCGCGCCAACCTGCGTTTTAGGCCGTTTCTTAGCAACGGTATCAGTAACATTCTAATGATCGCGGCAATTCAGGCTTGCGCATAAACCACATCACAGTGCTGTTCTTATTTGTTTCAGTGGTGTAGGCTAGATTTCTCAAGTAGTAGTTTTACACATGTTTTACACGTTACAACTTGTACACTCTTTGATCTAACACCTTCCATTTGAGTAGACGAGTTTTCGGATTCCAGCCAACTAGGCCAACCAGGGTGATGTTCTAAACGAATCTAATCTATGGGATCAGTCACTTCGTCTTTGGAAATCACATGTCTCACAAGGCAACAGTCAATCCACGGGTTAATAAATAATATGTAGGCTGTAGAGGCCAGGCCGCGAGGGAATTCTATTGATTTTTTTTGTATTGATTCAAATCCCTTCTGCGTCAATGAAAAGGTGGTTAGTTACCAATGTGCAGAATGGATCTGGTGTACTTAGAAATTATTTAGGGTTACGCTTTGTGCATGGTTATAGGAAGTGTGAAGACTTGGCGATGAGACAAGGACACTGGTTCTGGTCTCTGTGGGTCACGCTGTCGCCTGGCAGAAACCATTATTAATGGCCGAGGAAATTCGCCCGCAGGCCAGGCGTTAATTATATCAGGGCTGGGGTTGGGGGTTGCGCAGATTCTTACCCATGAATACAGTTACAGTGACAGTTGGGTTTTGCAAGAACATGTAAGAACGTTAAGAAATTTGCGTGGGGAGTTTCGTGAATGCGAACGCCCTCGTGCTGCCACCCGCAAAGAGACGAGGGAGACATTACAGTCCATAAGTAAATGGAGGTTGATGAGGAAGAGGAAACAAATTGAATGTCTGAAATGAAAACGGAATTCACTGCCAGCTCTAATCCACTTCTGTTCCCTTGCCGCCCTTTATTTGGAGGCTGATTTCCTTGCTCATAATTTTACAGCGCTTTCAAAACCCTTTCTCTTTCCTACGTTGATTGTCACTCTTCTGTTTGGTGCATGCGCCCCGCCAGCCATTTAGAAGTGGTGCGACGAATTCTTAACAGAGAATTCCTCTAAAAATGGCGCTTCTCTTGAATGACGTGAGATATTCTACATCAGAGACACGCAAGGGGGTTGACATGAGCGAGAGGGGCCGCCCCTTACTATTGACCGAACCGCCACTCTAGTCTCATGATAAAATCTCGCCGAAATCTAACATGCCGAACACCTCAAATAGCATTTGAGATTTGAGAGTTTGTTTTTCAGCTTACCCTGATTTTGACTGACTTGATGGTCAACGTGAACCGCCGATGACCACAGGGGTATGGTATTAAAACACTGCCGTCAAGTCGGACACATTCTACTTTAGCATCAGCTAATTCACAACAATGGCCGATCTCGCGGCGTTTGGCTTTTTGTTACAGACGAAATCAATGCGCTTGAAATAAATGCTGGAAACAAAAACGGTAGTGTGTGGTGGCCATATGTTAAAAAATAAGCTATCAGAATGAGCTCTTTGGGAGAGCCTCAGGACATAACGAACAATTACGTTGTGGTGACTTTATGGGCACCAAACCAGTAGGTTGACACAACGTCGTCACAACGTACTTGTTGGTTGTCTCTTTCAAAGAGCTCATGCTGATAGCTTATTTTTGCTGTGTAATTTCTCAGAAAGTTGTGACAACGTAGTGGCAGCGTTGTCACTACGTTCCATTATGTTGTACATGGAACTCCATGGAATGGCTTCGTAATCAAGGTCAAAAGATTATTTAAGTATTTTTTATGATAAATGATAAAATGAAAAAAAGATTTAATAACTCCAAAACGCTGTCCTTAGACAAATGTTAGTTCAACCACCAGAGTCAATTGTTTGCAAGCAGACTTTTCTTGGATTTGGACTTTTCTATTGCTTTAGTAAATTGCCATGGTTGTCTTCAACGTCCTAGTTCTTGTAATCGCCAAGCTAGTGCCATATAATAATCGATTTTGAAGAGTTTTGTTTATAATTAAAATGTGAGCCAATTCCATTTAATTAACATTTTTTGAGTATAAAGTCTTAATGCTTAATATAGCTTAATGTTACCTGTTACACATTGTTCATTGTAGTGAACACTGTCTTCTAAACTAGGTGCTAGAACTTAAAGTGCTTGAATATACAGTTTAGTACCAAGAATGTGTCACTGTTCCAGTAACCATAGACCTATTGGTGAATGAAATCAGAAATATTTTTGACCTTAAAGATAAACTGCAACTTAGCTGCATAAATCCAGTAATAGGAAATTTGATGAAATATAAATTGTAATGCTGCTGGGGATGGGTGGGGGTGAGGCACTGCCCCACAAAATATATAGGCGTGTACTCTATAACATTTTTCAATTAAATTATTTATAAGATCCAGATGGTTGGAAAACATTTTCTTGTTAGAATAATTCTCGCAACAAAAAAATAATCAATTATTATTTTTGCTTTTATATACTGAAAAAAAATGCCTCAGGAAAGGCCAAATGATTAAAGTTGTATTTACTTCTCTTTCTCTTCACCATAAAACAGTGTTCAGGGAGCCCTACACGGTGCGTGTGGCTGACCAGAGGTCCATGCGGGGCAATGTTGCCGTCTTCAAGTGCCTCATTCCCTCTGCTGTGCAGGAGTATGTCAGTGTCGTCTCCTGGGAAAAAGACACTGTCTCCATCGTCCCAGGTAGGACTTCCACATCAGATTGTTTCATTTGATGCTCTTCTACTCAATAATAACCTGCTTTAGCATGTAGGTTGCTCTTATATAGGCTTATTGATAAGGTCAGGGCTTGACAAAGGGCAGATTCTCTCTGAGGCTCTGGAACAAGGGGGTAATGTGCTAAGAGGTATGACTGGAAAATTCTGGATTAGAAGGAGCAAAGAGGATTTCATCGAGTCCATTCATTTTATTGAATATTATTATCTTTACGTGTGTATGTGTAGAAGATGGGTGAATGTGTTTCAATGCTGTGTAGTGACAAAATGGTATGCAATGCAAAAGGGGAAAAGGCAGGGAGAGACATGCACTCATATTGTGTCTGCCTTATATCTTGTAAATTATACATACTAAAACACACACATTGATATACTTCAATGATATATCCTGCCATCTTGTACAAGACTAGAAGCAAATACATACTAGTACATACTGTACACAAATACTGCAGCAGGCTCCCTAATGGATTTTGAACAGCATTGTGTTACATTTGCCTTTTTATTTAAAGCTTTTGCTTGCTCATTCAAGGTGTATGAATTGAGTTCTAATTAAAATGGAGCTCGTACTGCATTTTCCTGGGTTTAGACTAGCTGGGAGACCTCTCATTAGGGTCTTGGGGAGCTCTGTTAATCTGCCTTAATTCATTTTGGCCTTTTTAGATGTCTCCCATTTTGTCAGAATAGAGGAGAAGGAAGGAGAAGAATGGTCCAATTAAACAAAATGGAGCCATATGAACCATACAAATGCCTCTTACTAGCAAAGCTGGGGATATTTACTCATTCTCATAGGAGTCTATGTGTGTGGTTGATGAAAACGGAAAAAGGGTAATAGGTTGGATTGCATATTGTACTTATATTTTAATTGTAGAGTTGTGTTTTGTTTTCAGGGGGGTGTGCATTAGTGAATAGATTGAGGATTTGTTTTACTTCAAATACATTTTTGTGGTTCAAATATATTCACTTCATGAAATTTTGTCTAAATATAGCTGAAGTGTTCTGCCAGGATCATGGTAGATTTCATTGTGCATGTGTCTGTGCTTGTACTTCTGAACATTCCAAAGATGCCCCACATATAACCGTATAACAGTAACACCACAGGTATACTGTGATATTTAAAATTGATACGGTGTTTAAAAATGATGTCGATTTGTCAAAATTTTGATGTGACAAATTTCTGTTCCAGGTCCAAATGAACACAACCCATTTATATTTTGGAGGGGCTCACTGATTAGTCGTGTGGGAGATCACTGATGGGTGCCTTTGATAAAAAGAGGGGGAAAATCAGGAAAAAACTAAGCATGATAGTGGCTCAGCAATGGCTAAGAGCTACACAACACAGAATATGTTTGATTTTGGCTTCCTCTCTAATACAAGTCACTCCACTTTGCACCCTCAGATGTCCTCTAAACAGGTATCACTTTAGCATCAGTTAGCTGGAACCAAGCCTGTGCTGTGGTCTGTGACTCAACTTTTGCTGTCTCAAACATTAGTTTCTGTCATCTACACATGTTTCAGCAGAGAATGTTAGTCTGAATCAAACCTGTACTGTGGTGTGTGGCACTGTTTGATTTTGTAGCCTGCTTGCTAAGCTAACATTAAGTTTGTTGATGAGGCTACAGATCCAAACACCATGAAACAGGTTTAATTTCACCTTCAGTGCCAGTTGTTAAACTTCACTCCCTTAAATTTAAATTATCATCATCCAAACTGTTGTAAACATTTTAGTTACTCAGAATTGAACATGTTCTGTGGTGAGCAGAGCTGTCATCACTCTAGCTGATCTACATAGCCATCCAGTTTCTCCTTCCTTAGTTTGCAGCAGTAGTTGTAAGATGGATATAGATAGATACATTCACTTATTTGGTGACCATGTAAGAACTAAACTTTTTGACTATTGTAGATTTTGAAATAATGCAGGAAGAGACAGCAGAAAAGTGTCATAAATGCTTTTACACCTCTCCTCCTGGTTAAACCATATAGTGTGTTAATATCTGGAGATGGTTTGAAGGGTTCTTTGTTCTGTACTAAAAGCAGGAAATGATACATTGTTTCATTTTAGTTCTGGTTGTCTTAGCATTGATGCTGAAGTAATTAACATCGAACCAAAGGTCATATGGACAGAATAGTCATAACTGACTGGGCAGATTCAGTGATGCACATTTGGTGACAGTAACTAGGATACTATCGAACAGACTTTCTAAAACATGCTATACTTTGGTCTAACTGATCTTGTGGATTCTATATATGTCTTCTTGATCTGTATGTATCAGGTGTTTTATAATGGCTTCGAATGTGCCTCAACCACATTTTAAAACATAAACTCTGCGATTCTAAATTTCACAGCTCATTAAAACATGATAAAATGCATTTGTCAAAACAAATACAGTATGCAGAAAGGAGATGGTTAGATTTAGTTTTAGAATTACAAAGATTTAGTCACAGTAATGTCTAGGGATTTAGATCCCTACAAGTATAGAAATACTGTGTGTGTGTGTGTGTGTGTGTGTGTGTGTGAGATGTCTCTTGGTTGATTGAAAAATCAATAGGTACTGCTCACACTGGCCAGGTCAGATGGTGTTTGTGACCTGAGCTTGCTGCGCTTCACTTCACATACCCACCACCTGCTCTTCTCTCACTTCATCTTTTTCAATGGAGGTGCATTTCTCTATGTCATTCACATGGGAGCGCTCTCTGATCCAGCTTAGACTGTGCAATGTGTGTGTTATGTTCAGACTGTTGATGGACTGAGAAGTAACATTCCTCTTTTTTTGTTAGATGTGCATCTTTGTGGTCAGACTGTGTAAGTACAGAATGTGTGGATTAGGAGTTAATCTGGAATAGATCATTAAAATGTAAATAAGGCAATTTATAGTGGAGTGATGTGAAATGCTTCATTCTAGAGAAACTTACTAAGTCAGAGTTGACCCCAGTGGTGGTGATAAAAACCAAGCATCTGAAGAGTTCAATGTCTCTAAAAGCCAACCTCAGAAGACATGTGTAGGTATAGTGGTCATTGTGAATAGTAAATAAAATGGCTATATTTGCATTGCGGACATTATGACCCCTGGTTCCTATCACCACAATTATAACATGGTGTTATTCAGTAAGTGGAGTCAGTAACTTTCTCTACAGTGCTCCATGTAATATCAAACCACTGTTTGTAACATCACAATTGAACTATGCAGATATTTTGAAAAACCAGTGGAATTCCTCTTTAATACACTAGTGAGTTAAGTGTGTGTATGTGCGTGTGTGTGTGTGTGTGTGTGTGTGGGGGGGGTTATATCTCTTAATTATAATACATAGAATTATTGATTTTGCTTATCTCATTTTTTCTGTTTTGCTGTTGTTTGTTGTAAGTCAAAAGGAAAGGAAAGGTAAGGGACAGTCCTGTTGGGCTGTCTTCATTTTTGACTTAAGTTATACAGCTAAACCAAAAAATCTTGATTTGTAAAATACCTCCTAGGACAGATCTTACATGTTGTTTCTTTCATTCTACTGGAATTGTACCATGTAAATCATAAGAAAAAAAAAACACTTCTTGCTCAGTTGCAGCAAATGTCCTTTCTGACTGCAAGTGAAATAACTTTTAGTTTTAAATGTTTGTATTAATCTACTAGTATAATTGGCAACATCTATAATAGGCCCTAGAACCAAAGAGACAATAGTTTTGCACTCTTTCTATTTGAAAAGTCCAACCCAGTGCTGTGTCTTCAACACTGAAATAAAATACATCACTGTAATCTGTAATATTGTGTGTATCACAGATTCCCAGCTCTGCTCCTAGAGAACCCCCTGTTCTGCACTTTTTTGTGTTTTTCTGCTGCAGCATACCCACTTTAAAGCAGGATGAGGTTGCTAGCAAGCTGATTAGTTATATCAGGTGTATTTGGAGCAGGAAAACAATAAAATGTGCAGAGCAGGGGGTACTCCAGGACCAGTGTTGTGAACAACTGGTGTGTAGGACATTATCCTACCACACATTGATACACCAACCTAACTGAAGACAGGCGAGATTCATTCAGGGAGATTCATGAGAGAGCCCACAATAGAATAGGTTTCAACCACCATTAACAAAAGACCAATGATGAAATACATTCCTTAAAATGTTTAGATGTTGTAGAATCCATCCTTTGATAAGTTAGTTTGGTGGCTTGATGATACTTATGAAAAACACCTTCATAGCAGCCACTCTGATTTCTGTGAATCTCCCTGAACCACACCTGTTTTTGAATGAAGCACCAGCTTTACACAATGTGTATTGCAGTGTATTGTGTTTTTTCAGTTATTTTGGCAATTGCATTCAGCACCAGCCTTGGTACACACACATAAGGTATTATCATGTTGCGCTCTCCGCTATTCTCGTGGACTATCAGCTGTCATTCCATCATCAGTCTCTAAATCCAGTGATTGTTTTATCCTTCACTGAGGCTGCAGTTATCCTCATAATCACCAAATAGTTTCCTGTGTGAGTATAATGACATACAATGGGATGGAAAAATGTTAAATTATTGATCTGATCAGATATTTAATGTGAATCATGACTGATTGCTAACTGTAATGTGAAGACAGCATAGTGATAGACATATTGATAACAGTTGACTGTTATGAGTACAAAGGCAATTGGAAAAATGCATCCTGTCTAGAATAAACCAGATTTGTTTCTGTACAACATTTCTCTTACTTCTTACTTACTCTCTCTCTCTCTCTCTCTCTCTCTCATGCTCTCACTCTCTGTCTGAGTAATGAATAGCCATTATCTGCTCTTTTCTCCTCCCTATGTGTACATCTCCATTGTTTCCCAATTATAGTGACAGTTGTGCTCTCTCTCCCTCTCTTTTCCTTTCCTCCTTTATTTCTCTCTCACACCCCCTTTTACTTAAATGAATGATCATTCACTGTTTTTATCAGTATATGCTCTGATCTTTCGGCTTTTATGAAGTTACTAAATGCAAAAAAAATATTGTT